TCCAGCAGCGAAGGACAGATCGGACCGGCCAGTCGCCAATGCGTGACAAGCGGTCACTGTGGTGGCACTGTGGGTTGTGCAGAGCTGCTTTCTCATGTCCAAGGATCTGTAAGGAGGGGTAGTGGTAGGGTATCCTGCAGAATCGAGATGCGATTTCTTTGGAATCCCCTAAGATATCCGTAGTGTAAGGTACCTGTAATTAGGTATGAGGACTTCGATGTTTTCGGTTGGGGGTACGTCGTCCGGTTTGCCCGATCCCCCACGAGCTTCGAGAGAACTTCCATGCCACAGATAGATAGGTGTGATAGGGTGATGGGCATGGCATCACAGGCCAACGAGAGTAGCGTCAAGTGTCAAATGCCTGGCATCTGCCAGCCATCTGGCTCGACATTCCATCTGATGCTGGCGTGGCAGGGTTCGTCCTCCAAAATAGAAAACCAGAGACCAGTCGGTTGACTCAGGCGCATGACAGCGGTAAGCCGGAGATTTCAATGGGATGGGCCGGATTGGCCGCTGGTACCGCGAAATTCGAACGAGTACGGTACCTACCTAGTCATCAGTGTGGCTTTGCCGCTTATCAGCCAGCAGCATGGGAGTGTCAGTGTGGGAGTGTCGAGTGTCTCTGCTTCATGACTCGATGATGGGGTTTCAACGCCGGAGATGAAGGGCTGGTGAAGTGAACCTGAGGGCGAAAAGTACAGGCGCACGGGATGCCAAATCAGCGATGCACCACACCCAGACACCAGGTACCGCTACATGCGCGGGCTCACATGAAGTCCTGAGGTGAGTTGAGGTGCCGTTCAACTTACGGTTCTGGCCAGGGGAGATGGGAGGTGGACCGCTGAAGAGCATCCGCCGCAGGGCTCCAAATCACACCTCATTCACACGCAGCCCGCTCCAGGATCCATGAGCGCGCTAGCCCCCCACTCTCTCTCCAACTTCACCGTGCCACCGTCAGAGCAAGAGGAACAAGTGAGGCGGGATGTGCATGCAGCCAATGACATCTCTTCGCTTAGTGTGGCGGTCGAGCTGTGCCTTACCTAAGCTGGTAAGATCCGATGGGAACCTTGGTTTTTTGGTAGTGTGCGCTGGCAGCAAGACGAAATACTCGGCTCATTTGTAGTAAAAAACTGTGAGTCGTATCCACGATGAAGCGTTTGAGAAGTCTCGAAAGGACCGGAAGATGGCCGATCATTGGAAAGAAAGACACATATCCCAGAGATTTTCGCTGTGCTGTTTTGCTGTGCTGAATCAGACATGCGACTGACGGTCAATACGAGCCAGTCCGATGGCCAGAAGCAGAGGTCCCGGCGTAGGTAGTAGGTACGGTCGAATCTGCGGTTCCCGGTCCAAGAGTTCAGGATATTACATAAGAAAAAAGTTAGAGACGAGAGCAGAAGTAGAGGTAATGAGATGGAGATATGAACAAGACGAGGAATAATGCTTGGACCTCTGCATCTTGTTGTTGTAGAGAACTTGAGATGTCGATATGTCGCTGCAGTAATGTAGATAGATAATGCATCTGCAACGCATCGTTGGTGGCTGAAGCGGACAAGCTGTGACATGGAGCACAACAATGTGATGATTCAACCTAGAGTCAGGTAACTACCGTTACCGAGCATTGGAAGGAGACCTCGCAACCCATGTCTGGAACAAAACATCACCTGGAGGCTGGGGCAGCGTAGGGCGGCTAACACAGGCACAACATTGCCTTCCAGGTTCAGTACGAAGCATGGTCAGCATGCCTGGCGGATGGAGCGAGGAACCCGAGAGAGCTCCTGAGTGCTACCTCAGGCTGTCGGTTGTCATAGCCCGACGGGTTTCGGCAGCGCAGCCACAGCACCCGACACCTCCCAGGTCCTGCTACAGCCTATAAGACTATAAGCCTACAGGGCAGGGCAGGCTGCCAGGTAGCGCTACCTACCCGACGCTATCTGTGCGAGCCACAGACTCTCCAGACCTGCCAGATTAGGTCACCCGACCCGCATGGAAGCGGCGTCCTTATCACGGGTTCCCAATAGCAACAGCTTCGAACGCACATCCCCCAAGCCGTGCGCTGCAATTGATCTCGTCAGCTGTCTTACAACTGAGTCCAGGTAAACTCTCCCCATACTTGAACCGAACCTACTTCTTCTCCATCATCTAGCTCTCCTTTTCTTCCCGGTTCCGTCTCATCTTCTCCCGCCCATGACACCTCGCTAACTCTGTTGTCTGTTGTTGATTCAGTTCGGAATCTGCAACGCTGTGGTTGGAGGCTCCTCGATATCCCGAATACCGGCATTCGATAGTCCGCGACCGGTTTCATTAGGTACCATCATGGCATCTCCTTCGAGAGATCCCCTCAGCATTCCCAGGGCCGACTCCCCGTCCCGACAATTCGGCTCTCTACCTCGCGCAGACGCCACCGCTCGCCTGGCATCGCCCGTACCCTCGCAGCAATATGGCACTCCCCAGACCGGCCGCTTCGTCGGGAGCTCAAGTAGGCTAGGCGACGCCAGCGAGACGGCCAGCCTTGCTCCTCTTGCTGGAGCTGCTCCTTCAAGCGTTCAAGGTCCCGGCGTCTCGGCTCTCGCCGCCGCCTTGTCCAACTCGCTGGGAACATCTCCACCGAGGCATGGTACACCACCGGTGCGCTCTGCCACTCCTCCGGCACGACCTCTCTCCCCTGCTGCCGCCGGCGCTCAGCTTTCGAGCACGCCCATGACGAACTATGGATCTTTCGACTCTCGTTCGCGGAACGCCGGTGCCGGTGCCTACGAGGACCCCGAGATTGTCAAGAGGCATTTGGTCCAGCCCACCGACGCCGCTTCTGAAGAGTCTAGCATGCGTGATGGCGTGAAGGGCAAGCAGACCGTGAGCGCCGACGCCGAGACCGGACTGAACGAGGACGAGTTTTCGAGCTTGCAGCTGCAAGGCGGAGACGTGACTCGAGGCATTTACAAGTGGACCGAAGAGGCAGAAGCCCGCAACAAGATGCAACGCAGCAAGAGTTTCAGCGTTTCGCGTCCGGACCCCGAGACTGATATTCTTGATATCAACACGATCAAAGTTCCCGGAGGTTTCCGTCGCAACTACCTCCGTAGAGCAGCAAGAAGCCCCTCCACGGCCAGAGATGGTGGTGAGCGCGGCGAGGCTAGCGAAGCTTCCCAGCCTCGGCTGCTGACATCCAGCTTCCTCGAGTTCCTCTCGATCTATGGCCATTTCGCAGGTGAAGAACTGGAGGAGGACGATGAGGCCTTACGACCCGGCGAATACTTCTCCTCGGGCGAGGACATGTACGAAAGCGACGACGAAAGCGACGACGACAGAGAGCCTATGGAAGACAGCGCGCTGTTGACACCGTCGCGCCACAGGAGGAGACGCAAGCAGCGTGGCGGCAGTGGAAAGAATAGCCCAATGAGCGCGGCGCTGCTTCTGCTCAAGTCATTCGTTGGCACGGGAGTTCTCTTCTTGCCTCGCGCTTATCTGAACGGCGGTATGGTCTTCAGCAACGCCGTCTTGCTTGGAGTTGCAGCACTGAGCTACTACTGCTTCGTTCTCCTGGTCACGACCCGTCTCAAGGTCGACGGATCTTTTGGTGATCTTGGCGGCATTCTTTATGGCAAATGGATGAGGGCGACTATCCTCTCGTCTATCGTTATAAGTCAGATCGGGTTTGTGGCGGCGTACATGGTTTTTACGTCAGAAAACCTGCAAGCCGTTATCCTAGCAGTATCGGACTGCAAATCCAATATCGCTGTCAAGTGGTTGATCCTCTTGCAGGTGCTCGTCTTCCTGCCATTCTCCCTGTTGCGAGATATTGAGAAGTTGAGTTTCACTGCTCTTATCGCGGATGCCTTCATCCTACTTGGCCTGGCATACCTTCTATACTACGACATCCTTACCTTGGCCACCAATGGTATTGCGGACATCATCCAGTTCAACCGCAACGACTGGACCTTGTTCATAGGCACGGCAATCTTTACGTTTGAAGGAATTGGCCTCATCATCCCTATTCAGGAGTCGATGAAGAACCCCAGCAAGTTCCCTCGTGTCATGTTGGCGGTCATGATCATCATCTCGGTCATCTTCATCGGCATGGGTGCCATCTCCTACGCCGCCTACGGATCCAAGACAGAGACTGTGGTGCTCCTCAACATGCCCCAAGACAACAAGGCTGTCAATAGTGTCCAGTTCCTTTACTCTATTGCCATTATGTTGTCAATTCCTCTGCAGCTTTTCCCCGCCATCAAGATTACCGAGAATGCGTTGTTCACCAAGAGTGGAAAGTACAACCCCTATATCAAGTGGCAGAAGAACCTCTACCGCTTTTTCTTTGTCATCCTTTGTGCCGTTATCGCATGGGGTGGTGCGGATGACCTAGACAAGTTCGTTGCCCTTGTCGGTAACTTTGCTTGCATTCCGCTTGTCTACATCTACCCGGTAAGTATAACCATGGACAAGAACCTGCCAATATAAAGCGTGACTGCTAACCTTCAATAGCCCCTGCTTCACTACAAGGCCGTTGCGAGAAACAGGCTCTGGAAGATTTCCGATATTATACTCTGCATCTTCGGCTTCGTTGCCATGGCTTATACCACAACCTTGACTGTTTACAGCTGGGCTGGTGGCTCAGATGGTGCCAAACCTCCGGCATACTGCGACCGCAGGGGGAAGTAAGCTGGCACAAAGTGTCTGAGGGAATCGCATGCGACTGCATTTTTTAATTGTCATTCAGTGCTGTCTGAAAAGCGTTGGGTAATCATTGCATGGATTCCAGCGGGTTCTTCAAGGGTTTTGGACAGCATCGGTCGGTCGTCAATGAGCATGGGCTTGTACATAGACTGAAGAACAAGAGGCTCATCGCCACGTTTATAGTTCTGTATGTGTATACGTAGCAGTGGTTTCAAATCGACTTATCCTTCAACTACTTTTAAAAAAATCTGAGGACAAAGAGACCGTGAAGTTGAAAATTTATCATGTCTTGGCGAATTTGAATCTAATCTATTGAGGTGAAATGAAGATGGAGGAAGATGTGGAAGGTCAGAGCAATACCTTATGCACCGCCACATTTGTGCTTCTGTGGCGCAGCCCACCTCTTTGAGGACCCACTAGGACTCCAGCCCATCCTTACTGAGAAGGAGCCTGAGCTTCACCACGTCCAACTCACTCACCAGCATCTCTCATACCCCGGGTGAACTCTCAAATTCTATCACAATACCAACCCAAAGGTAGTCATTAATCTCTCGTCATGAAAGAACGTACCACTAACAAGATTCCAGTCTCACTGCAGTATTCTGCGTTCAATTATCTCCAACCACGCATTATCTTCAGTTTTGTCCTCAAAGTCTCGTTACCACCGACTCCACCCTCCCCTTCACAATCACGAATCACCAAGATGAACGCGCCTGATCGGTAAGAAAATTTGACTCCTTTGTTTCGGTGAATTTGGGAAGTATCCTAGGTCTGCCTGGTCGGCAGATGGACTCGGGACGGCCTCACATTGTCATGATTCCTCTCAGGCTTCCCTTCACGTTGCCCTCGAGGAGGTGGCCGTGGTCTTCCCCAGGCTTCCTTGCCAGATTCTGCTAGAGGTGCCTTCGCAAGGCGTGAAACTACATCTTCACATCTCTATCATACATTTCAACATTGTTCCTGTTGTTCCATACACACAGATTATCGCGTCACTGCTTTCTCAGGCATATCAAGACTCCAAGACCCCAGAACCACCCTCTCTGAACACGTCTGAGCTACATCATGTCTTCCCAATCTGAGAACCTTCCTCCTCGGCGCGTCTCTTTTCAAGAAAACGGAACCCGGAAATTGAACTAACTCATTCATAGTTTCGAGCTCTTCCTGCTCGGTGAAGGCGAGAAGAAGATCGAGGAGAATGTCTTCTCTGGTACATTTTGCACGCCCTTCAACCATTTTTCTTAGCCATTCGGCCAAGCTAAATTCTTCCCAGGAATGTCCAACACGTCCGACTTCGTCATCAAAAAAGAGGACCACACTCTCGGCAACCTCCTGTCCGAGCACCTGAAGATGCACAAGAACGTCCTGATGGCGGGCTACAAGAGTAAGGTGCATTGCCCTTCGACTAGGGCCACGCATACTAAAATGTTGTCACAGTCGCGCATCCAAACGTCCCCGAGATGTTCATTCGAGTCCAGACAGACGGCACGATCACCGCCAAGGAGGCCTTGGTACAGGTAATCAAGAAGCTCATGCAGGACCTGTCCCACCTGAGTCGCGAGTTTACTCGCGAGTTCGAGCTTCGTCGCATGGTCGAGGCGGGCCGTTCGAATCAGCAGGGCCAGTAAGGCGGACACACTTGAGACGATGGGTTACATCTCGCGTGGGATTTTTCCTCTGGGCGTTAGGCGGATAAGGTCATTACGGAATAACGGTCTGATACCGAAGTTTGGCATGGGGAATCGTCATATTGGTTTTCGCATTCCGGGCTGAGAAAGGGCCTCGGATTAGAAAAAGTTGATCATTGCGCATTACGTCGTCAATTTCGCGATGCTTTGAAAGCCTCTCTACGTGACACTTTTGATGTTCATGCCCAGTCCCCAGAGGCCCTCTTTCTTGCTTTACCCTCGGGTAACGAGTCAACGCCTTCAGCTGTTGTGGCATTGCTCGTACCAACCCTGGTGCCTCCGTCATGCGATCCCTTGGGTTACAGAAATCATGAACCTAGTCTATCTATGATCTTGAGGAGCGGCTGCTTCTGCTCAAATTTGTCCCTCGTCCAAACTTCTTCATGCGGTCACCGGACCCTCTCCTCCAGGAATGAGCTGCTCATCGTCAGTCTCTCTTCCCCTCTCAAGAAATCCAATGGAGAACGTGACGTACCATGCAAATGTTGTTGCCGTTCAGCAGGATCTTGGGAAGCTTTGTGTGATTTCCAGAGTAGTCGCTAGCCTATAGTTAGCAAGGGTATATACCACCTTCAAAACGGCCACATACAATTCTGTCACGTCCTCCAACACCATGTCTGTTTTTTTTTCGTTAGATATTTCGAGAAATGGGTAGCTCAACATCCAAAGTTTACTTACTGACGTAGTCATCGAAACCCAGGAGCGTGCCGCTGAATTCTGCCATCCCTTCGAGTCAGCAGATCACGTTTAATCGAGCCCATGATGGTCGGCCGTACCCTTGTCACCCTTCATGACAACCCAGATCCTCGATCCAACACATTTGTCGATAAGTTCTATCTTTGTCAGCTTCAACGATCTGCATTTGTGGGCTTGTCCACTCACCCAGAGGGAGCAGTTGCGACGCCATTTTGCCGCTTAAATCTTTGAATCTGGTGGAGGTTCTGAATTGTTTACGTTTGAAGTCTCCTTGTAGGGGTTACGCAGGGATTAAAGTCGTCAAATGAATTGATGGTCGTTTCGATACACCAAACGAAAGTTCCTTGCCAGACCAAAACGTCGATGCTCAAGATGATGGACGTCGTGCACTTGGGCCGGAGGGGTGAGCGTAAAAGCCCATGTCAGGTGACTGCGCGATGAGCTGTGAATGACTAAGCCACATCACCCCGGACTCTTGGAGCTCCCAGCTGTCGCTGCCGCCAACTGGGCGCGTATCACCCACAAAGCCTACTCCGTACTTTAATTGAACCCCTCCATCACCCACGACGCGTCTGCCTGAAGAATACCGTTCTTCACTTTGTCGCGCCAATGCCCGGTGGCAAATATGGCGCTTCACTCCCCCCTCAAATGCACCCGCGAGCAGCGGTGATGAGCTTCCCTAGACGCAGCAGTTCTATTCTATATAAGTCTCGACTTTTGCCGAGATCGGTGCTGGTCCAAACGTGTGTACACCCTTTTCATCGAATTGCTAGTTACCATTGGGTTTTTACTGACAGCATCGACAACTCGCAGACGTTCCAGATCAACAATGTATCCCTCCTCCTACGCCAGATTATGGAATCCCGTTCGAGGCATCGTCTTCGGACAAGCGAGTCCGAACGAGACATCCCATCCGCGAGTGGACATGTTGCGTTCTCTCCACATCTCGACGCCAGACAACAGCCAGCCCTCAGCCGCGACGGGGGTGAATAACGAGATTCTCGACTCTGACAGCGATGACCTGCTTTTTCACACCGCTCCGGAGTACCAGCCCGCCTTAGACAACGTTCCCACTGCCCAGACGCTCCAAGCAGAGACCGCGGGGGGTCCAAAGGAGGGCAAGGTTGAAGCCAAGACGACGACGGCTGCAGAGCCAGCAGAACCCCCGCAAACAGACCTGGACTTCAAGATCCCTCTGCCGGCATTTCGGAAAGCCCAAGGAGCGAAGGAGAACACGGGAGACTCATTCTGGTCTTACACACTCTTTCGAGGACCCTCGGTAGATGGGGCCGAGCAAAAGGTCAAGGTGCACTACTGCAAGACCAAACACACCATGGAGAGAGTGTGTCAGTATTTTATGAACGATTCGGTCCTTGGGTTCGATCTGGAGTGGTTCCCGGATGCGAAGAAGACCTCGGGTCCGAAGAAGAATGTCTCCTTGATCCAGATCGCCAACGAGAGTCGGATTGCTCTGTTTCACATTGCCTTGTTTCCCACCGACGACTTTGTCGCTCCGACGTTCCGGAGGATCATGGGGGACTCAGACGTGCGGAAGGTCGGCGTCAACATCAAGGGCGACTGTACACGGATACGAAACCACCTGCAGGTCGATACGAGGGGAGTCTTCGAGTTAAGCCACTTATATAAGCTTGTGAAGTACTCAGCAAGTGGTGAAGTGAAAATGATCAACAAGAGGCCTATACCTCTGGCTACAATGGTCAAGGAACACCTCGGTCTTCCCATGTTCAAGGGACAGGATGTTCGGTCGAGTGATTGGTCCCAGTCCCTGAACATGGACCAGCTCATGTGTAAGTGCTTGCGGAACCTTTCCTCTGTTGCTTGCTAATTCCGCCTAGACTCTGCTTCGGATGCCTATGCCGGCTTCCAGCTGTTCCATGTTCTCAATGGGAAGCGCAATAACCTCGATCCAACTCCGCCGCTCCCGTATAATGCTGAGCTCGGCCTGAGCATCCGGCTCGCAGACGGGCTCCCCCTCCCAATGGCAGAAGAGAATACTGAGCCTCTAGAGGCTGACCCGCGCAACATCTCAGCACCTCTTTCGGCCTCGGAGTGCCAAGCAATCAGAGACAGTCTCGAAGTTGAGGGAGATGGCGAGGGTCAATCAATCGCCGAGAGCGTGAGAGCCGCCAAATCGACTGCTCCGACCCAGAAGCGCCAGAAAGACGCCAGGGTCGTTGCCGCCGATGAGAAGCTGGCCAACTACCGGACCACCATCAAATCCCTCCGCGCCTCACCTTCCGCCGTACGATCCTACTTTATCTGGAACGATAACGAGGACCTAACGCCTGAGGCCGTTGCCAGGGTCCTCCGAGACCCACCACTGCAGACGAACACGGTGGTGAGCTATATTTTGGAGGCTCTCAAGTTGGAGAAGCTGCCGTTCGATAAGAAGCGGCTCCGGAACGAGATTCTACACACGCTGCCGAAGGAGGTCTTGCAGGGCAGGTACAAGGCTTTGATGCTGGAGGCTCATAAGCCCGATACCGGGGCCCCGTCTTCGGTTGCGTGAGATGAGCGCTAGCTACGTATATGAAGAGGGTAGCATGACGAGTCCACGAACCAAGAAAATACGTTGTTTAGTTCAGCATTGGATTCATGCATAATGGAGATACCCGCATTGGTTACATTCACCTCCTTTTACGATCGTAGTCTTCGCAACCGTCCAACAGGCCGTGAAAATCGTAAAAGATGCAGAATGGACGTGTCAATTCTTTGCCAATTGCCGAGCCGTACGTCAGCCACAGCCGCCTCTGCATGTTTCGAAACATGTATTACGGTGGGCTCTTTTAATTGGTGCTCTTGCTTTGTCTTCGTGATGTCGTCCATGGTGTATTCCGCTGCACAATACGCACCCGCCCTTGATGGACCTTCATCCCATAGTTCCTCTATAGGCACTGCAGACGGGCCAGCTCATCAGCAAGCATCGTCCGTTGTAGTCGATGGCCGAGCGGTACGATTCTGGTAAAGAACGTATGTTGGCTCACGGTCCTACATAATGCCATGGATAGCTTGTTTTTTTTTGCGCTTGATAGGTTGCAGGTTCGAGTCGACTTCAATCGACTTCTTATTTCGTTTTTTGAGCCATGGAGATTTATTTAGATGCGTTGTATTTTTCAATCATCTTTTCGGGTCGACTAATCAGGCTCTGGATGCATGTCAGTAAGCTCGTTTTTGGAGGGGAGAGGCACAGCACAGCACAGGACTGGATTCGTGCTGTTGACTCCTATTGCCTGGGTGATATGACTTGGGGTTACACGACATGGGAGATCTGCCCCGTCGTCGATGTCATCGTGTCGTTTGAATTGGGCGTTGGACGATCTCTCTCATCACAGCCACAGTCTTGCGCGGCGCGATGACACGTTGTAGGCAATTACCTATGGTTGTCGGCGCGTGCTGTGAGGCTTTGAGGCTTTATTTTGTCGCCTTTCTTTCTATTTGCCACATTTTCGAGTCACGGTGAGAGAAGAATACATGTATATGTGGAACAGAGGATATGTTCGGCCGAGTTCAGAATGCCGCCATTGTTTGTAGAGAGTACATGCGAGATGTGACAGGCAGCCTGGTGCGATACGAGATGAACTACACGTGTGGTGGCGAATAAGTTGACGGGTATGCGTTGAGAGCATGGGATGCTTATAACTATTTGGCCTTGAGTAATGTGCCTCAGTGCTTAAACAGGAAGAAAACAATCTGCGCTATTATTCTGTTACAAATTACAACCCTCTTTGACGGTTCGTCTCTCGATAAGGTCTCAGGGAAGTGACAGGTACAAGAATATCATCAGCATAAAACTTTGTTACGATTACCAATCGTGGAAGAAGCAGATGCAAAAGAGACTGTACAAGTCATAGAATAGCGAATGCGAGACAATGTTCGTGTTGTCCAGACGGGTTCGGACGAGCAGGTGTTCCTGGCCAGCCACCCTCACAACTATGATGAAGGGAAGTTGGTTCAAGTCCCAAGTCAGGCCAGCTCAGATGTCTTCCGCATTTGGCCACGACTGAGATCCGAAGTTGAAAATAGCTCGGAATGGCCGAGCGAACAGGCCTCACGGTTCTGCAGGAAGGAAACAAGTTCGACGACATCATCCCGAATCTGTCGCAGCTTGCGAACGGTCTTCCAAGCAGACCATCATCCGATTGTGGCTCGCCTGATATATTCTGCTTATTGACGATCTTGCCTCGCCGTCCGAAGTTTGGCATTACAGGGCTGCCTCTACAACTAGATTGGAGAAGTCCCCAAAGTCTCTAGAACCAGAATTGTGCTCGGTCCTCGCTCAAGTCGTAAGGTGGGTGTTCTCGTAGAAGCGCTCGGGCTGTTTTGGCGGTGCGTTTCCCGTACGGCTCCTGCCTCTTCCACGCATCGTTGACATGCTTCTGACCCGAGACCTTCGTTCGTGTGTTCGGATTGCGAAACCAGTCCGTAGCCCTTTCTTTTCTTACCTGCGTTTGAGACTCGACTTCGCCAGGTGCTGTGGTAGACTGCTTAGACCTCAGGCCCGGTGACACCGTTAGTCTGGCTTATACGAGGCAGTCAACTGTAGTATCAAGGCCGAGTGATTGTCATCTTGAAAGTTCATTCGTTCACGCCAGACCATTCCGTAGGCTCAAATCTTGCAGAAATATGTCGATTAGGAGATGAGGCACTGGATCGAATATGCAAAGTCTCTCGGCCGAATCCTATCAGGTTGTTGAGCAAAGCATGGCTTTTCCATCCGTGCTTGTAATGAGGCACATTCCTGTCATATCCAGTGGCTTCTTGTCTTTGGCCAAGCGTAGACAATAAGAGTCTTGGCCGGGTTCGAAGCCCTCCGCGATCCCACTTGTGGATGCTGCCAACCGATCGGCTCATGGTGCTTGAAAGCTTATCGAGATAGCTGTGGAGAGCCAAGGGACCAAGCATGCTCTTCAGCGTGGTGACAAGACTGATATCTAGACTTCAACTCGAAACCAATGGCAATCAGAAGAGCAAATGAGCAGTGGCACTATGTGGGGCGTAATGAAGCTTAAGCCACACCCAATTTGCACCACATGCCCTGGATATTCTCGAAATTTCGACGAGAATCATCGTGAACTGCTCTTTGTAGTGCCTGGGGTGGTCTTTCGCCGTGGAATTCGACGTCAAGGTAAGTATACGTCCGTAAGAGCGTCCATAATGCAACGACATATATGAGAATGTATGCTTTTAAGAGAGACCGGGAATGGGCACCGCCTTAGCTGAGGCGATATCTGGCCGGGATGTCAGACTCTCGAAGGCTTTTTGCTGCGAGTTCGGACTGGGTCAAATTCATCATGAAGGTGCCATGTTAACCGTGGCATGAGCCAGATGTGGAGGCAGTATACGGACAATACC